AGTGGATCTTTAAATTAATCTCTAAAAATTAATGGTGTATTAATTGATCCATTAATACAAGGGCAGATTCAATTTGACGTCTGAATGCAGTTCAGATCAAGCATGCTTGCTATTATAATCAAACTGAAGTTTAGATAACTTCTCATTTGTTTTGGTGGTTGGGAGGGAAAGAACTCATACTGCTGAGCCCACAAAGACAAGACGATCTCTCAAAAAATTCTCATTTTCAAGCAAGGCCCTATAAAAGAGAGTTGGATTTACAGCTATTCTTCCTTCTCAGTATTCCCCAGGACAGTCTCTAGCTCCAAAAGAACCTGTGAGACCTGCCCAGGAGATGGAGCCAATCCCACTGCTCAGACTCATAGTCTTACAGGATTTCCAAATAACATTTTACAGGGAGACTGAAAAGCTACAATATTTCTGATTAACCACCGAGTTGTGATGCCTTTCAGCACAGGGTCAAATAATGTGAACACTGTGCAGTTCCCCTGTTCCCACTCATACCCCTGAAAGAGGAAGAGAGATGCATTGGAGGGGCTATAGTAATACAAGTTTTATTCTATTAATATCTTTTTTTATTATTATGGTTTTAGACTTAATTTTATTATTTATTGTTGAAGAATTTTTATTATTTTGCACATAGCAATACGTATTGTCCCTCTATAGCCTGATATTTGGTTTTGATAGTACATTTTGCCTCTCTATGGCCTGAAGCTTGAAGAGAATCTCATGAGGTCTTCTGCCTCCAAAGAAAGTCCCTACTCCTCTTAATTTTAACCTTTCCAAATAGCACCTGCTGGATTTGAAATCCAAAGGTATTTAATTTTAGTCTCAAGGGTATTAATGTGGATTATCACATTTACTATTTAAAATATCTAAGGAGATTATGCAGCTGATACTGAAGAATGATCTTTCACAAGGCTTTAGGGTCTTTAAATGCAGGGTCTTATTCAGATTTTGAAGAAGATTGCAGCTTCTGTTCATGAGAACAGCACTTAAAATTCACACATTTCAAGGGAAGGAGCATTACATGGTTATGAACCTTTTTAAAACTGGGAAAGATTCTTAGATATAATAACATTATAACACCATCCACAGCTTTTTACTCAGCAGGTACCACACTGAGCTCAGCTTCTACTTGATTAAAACCTCACCAGCTGGAAAGATCCTCCTCTGAGGAAGAGGGTGTTTCTCTCCTGCCTTTTCTAGAGGTCATCATCTTCAATTTACACAGTCCTTATAAAATGGACACACAGGAAACTTTCTAACCAAACTTCCAGGAGGAGTTAAGAGTGACAAAATAGAAGAGAGCAAATTAGTATAAATATGTAGAAAGAAAATAAAAGTATCACAGCAACAACTGTTCCAATCAGCTGTACTGCAGCAATTTAAAAAAAAGGAAAAAAGCCCCAACCTCTTTCATAATTACTGGAGACAATTAATTAAAAATTATCTTATTTCTAAAGAACAGCTAAATATAAAGTAGGTGCAAACCTTAAGGCCTGCTTAGTCATCTCAGAAGGTAACAAGTCTTTGCTTCTCACAAGGATTTTGCTGAGGCCTTACAAGGAAAGGAAGCATCAGTTCAGCTCTACAGGCATTAGTCTATTCTTTCTTAGATTTCTTTTATATTACTATTATATTTACTATTTCTTATAATTTTAAATCCTTAGTCTGAGTAAAGCATGACTCTGAGAGTAGGATATTCTCATTTTACACAAGACTATACATGTTAATGTGATTTTTTTACTTACCCTTTTGTGTATCCTTCTGTTTGCAGAGTGAGCGATAAGAATACACTCAGCTTTTCCTTTGAAACAGCAGGGAAAGCAGAGAGATCTTATGTTTGTGAGCATGATAACTGACTTGCAAACTTGTAGGGATGTGGAAAATTCCAAGGGCTACTAATTACCACGTAGAATAATTCATTTAATTAATCCTAAGTTTCCTTTGTAAAATGCAAAAAGGGGATCTACCCTTCCCTTAATAGGAAGCAGCTGTTCATTAAACAAGCTCTCAAAAAAGCACCTTTTAAGTACTATTCCAGGAGCTGAATTAATTTCATTTTAGACTCCACCAAGAATATAATAGGTGGTTTTTTTTCCTTAAAGCTGTATGAGTTAACACAGCCCAGTGTTTGTGGTACAAGCTCAAGCCCATATGCCCACATATACAGGGCAGCTCAGGCAGTTGCAGGAAGCAACACAAGTGAGCAGCACTGGGTACAAGCAGCCAATACTGATGCTGGAGACAGAGGATCACCCTTAAAGAGGATACAGGGTAAACTGTACTTAGCTTGTACTTAGCCTTGGAGCCTTTAGTCAGTCTTATCTCTCAATATATTTCACATGCAATCCTTACATCCAGCATAAATGAATCAGATCTTAGACTATGATCTGAGTGCATATATTTCTTGCTTTCTTTATCAATATCCACAACTCTGTTGATGATAATGGCAGTTTTCTGTTACAGAAGTGCTGACAGAAATCTAACACAATTGTTGCTTTCCTCAATCCCTATGTGATCTTCTTCAGTGATATAAACCACTTAATTAATTTTCCTAATATTTCTGTGAAAACTGGTGATAATCTGATAAATTTTATGACAAATTTTGCTTCAAAATTACAATTAGTTAACAGCAAACTTTTAAAGGTCTCAACAAATTTTATGTAGAAACAAATTTCACTGTTGAGTATAGGATAGAACAAATATAAAGCCAGTTTGCTTAAATTTATTTTAGTGGGTCTCACAAGGCACCTTTGAGTAAAAAATGAGGGGATAGACCTGAGACACTTTTTAAATTGGAATTAATTGTTGCAGTTAAGCAGCATTAAATTTAACACATCCAGAACTTAACCCTTTAGAATTCTATTTTCCATGAAGCAGAAGACTCTTTCTCTAGGAAGTTTCCATTTCTGCTTGTCAGACATTCAGTAGATGCACAGAAGACCACATATAAAAAACTCTTTACAGCTCAGACTTTTACTTTTGAAGTAAGATGTGTCCATCATTCACTGATGCTTACTCTCCTCCTACTACACACGTGTAATTTTAGATACAAAAGCAGCTCCACTGAGAGCAAAGGAGAAACACAGATACATAAAAACATATATGTCTATGTGATTGGTATTCCTACTGCCACAACTGAAGCCTTGCAAAAATATTTAATTTCAGGAAAATTAGCATGTGGACAGGCTTTCAGAAGGTAGAGTTTCAGAACAGACATTCAGAATTAATACAGTAAAAAATCCAGAATAAAGCCCAACTTTTTAATGCCTTCCAAGTTCCAAATTTAAAATAAAAATGAAATGATCTAATGAAAATTATAACCTCAGATTTATATCAAAAGGTGTGCTTGCATGTAAAAACAGATATATATCAGTTTCTCCAAAACCTAAAAAACAGCACCTTACGCAAAGATCTGTTAGAAGGGACTGGCAAGGGCTTCACCTATTCTTTGGAGACCTTAAATTCAGACATTAGATGTGGGTTGCACCTTTCTAAAAGTTTTGAATTCTTTTGGGTAATTGATTCTGAAATGCTGAAATACAGTTTCAAAACTAATTACTAAAGCACATTAACAGTGGTTACACAACAATATAGCTTCATTATGGCCTACAAAGTATTTTTCCTAACACCCATTAGGATGCAAATCCAGTCTTTGTGTGTTTGAGCCCATTGATGTGCAGGCATTTGGGGTCATTACACCTATGGTCACTTATGGATCACTGAACTCTGGGACTGCTGCATATGCTATCAGTGAAATGTGATGAAACACTAGATTTTATGACAACACAGAAACACAAGAAATTTACATTAGAAGAAATAAAAATTTATCAGGAAGTACAAATGTTTCTGTGAGGAAGTATGGACCAGAGGAAGACTGGTATTAGAAAATAGAAATTCAGGTGAGCACCTCAAGAGAGTTTCCATAACTTGTGGTCTCAAAAAAGATCTATCTTTTGTTTTGGAAATTAATTGAAAACACGTCTGTCAAAAGCAAAACTGTCAATAGCAGCTACTGACAGTAATGGAGGGAGGAGAGAAGGCATTAAGGAAATGCTCCATAGCTTACAGTGGTTGTTTAAAGAGACTAACAGGTTAAGTTAGCCACATGAATTCAGTCTCCTTTTCACTTCAACATCATCTTCTTCCTGAGGCAGGCACTCCTGCACCCTTCTCCTCACAGTGAGAATTAAATGCAGCTCCCAAGTTGGTGTGCAGGTTGCTAATATGATCCTTAGCATAGTATGCCCTTGCCCACAAATGATACATGGTGGAAAGCTGTGCTTCCACGTAGCTAGTACTAATTGTACTGATTTACAGTGAGTCATTGTGATAAGTAAGCCTCCTAAGTAAGTGTCTCCCCTCCCACATTTACTTTTCACTTATCAATGATTAAGTAAATAGAAATAATATCTGGGAATGGGACCATAGCTACCATTATGTCCATAATTTCACGGCAGAGCAGTATAGGGAGCAGCTGTAATGAATAAACTAAAAATGTACTGATAGAACAGTAAATAACAGCATGAAATGGACAAAAATTCATTTAGATATTAGACAAATTAGAATTATATGAAAACTAGTGATACTAAACGCACCAGATATCGTCTCCTTATACTTTCTACCTGATCTTGGAAGGTGGTGATCAATCTGAATACAGTGGAAACTTTGAGATACTTGAAGTGATATGGACATTCATTCAAGATCTCCAAATGATTTCTTTAGTAGCACAATATTCCCTTGTTGACATGTAAGTAGATAACAAGGCAGAAGAGTGAATAAAGAGAAAGAATTACTTGATAGTCTAAGTGTGAGGGGCAAAAAGGGTAGAAAATCTGGCTAATAAGGAAGAGCCATAGCTAACGGACAAAAATTTGATGTTACGGACAAGAAAGAATTAAATGTCTCAGAAGGGGAGCTATCATAGCCAGATTTATGTTCAAAACCATGGACATTATTACAATTAATAAAAACATTAAGCAAAAACTGGGGCTTTTTTTGTTCACTTTGATTTTTGGACTGCATGTTGACATTCAATGCAGCACTGGATAAGAATCATAGGAAACAAAGTCAGATTAGATATTGTTGGTGGAGAGACAGCAGAGGAAATAATTCGGGACACAGTTATTTAAATGGCTCATCAGGTAGCAATTTATAAAGGAACATGATTAAGTTTGGAGGCAACAAGATCTTTGTCATACTCCTTGTTGAACTTGCTGAAAACAAACACCATATACATTACCTTTCGAGATTTAGAGAAACATCCAATTTTTTTTAGAAACCAATGAATCCCACACATTTTTTGTGATTTCCTGATGGACATTGTTAGAATTATATCTGATTTCAGCTTCCACTCAGGAAGTGACTTGTCTACCTAACTGATGCTATCAGAGGGGGCTTTTGCTTCCTCTCCATAATGCAGAGGCCTTCATGTCTGCTTCTGTCTTTGCTGCTGATGCTCACTCAGCACCATATTACTCAGTGATGGCTGATGAACTGCTGGCATTTATTCCACTTCGTGCATCCACTTCTTTGCAGTGCTGTGAATCAAGATCAACATCTTTTAAGAGCATGCAATGGTTAATAACAGGTGTGTGTAGACATGGATGGTTACCTAGAAGTGTGCCAAAGTAATTTCATGTTGACATTCCATTTCAGAAACATTACTGTGTGCTTAGTTAAATATTTCTGTTAGTCTCAGCCTCTAAACAGTTACCTGCATAAGATTAAACAAGAATTATGGCATCATCAAGTATGTCTTAAATTGCTCTTCACTTGCTCCTCACTGACCACTAGAAGCCATTTGTTGAGAGGGAAAAACACTGTTTCTAATTCACTGAGGGCTTAAAAGAAGAACATGATGTGGTCCTTTCCTTCTTTGTCCAATATCCACCTGTGAAATTCTTAGCAGATGGCCATTGTTGCAAAACTGAGCCCTTCTTTTCATATCCTGGTCTTGCTGACATGACAGCAAGAGATGAGCAGGTAATCATGTCTGTAGGTGATGCTTCTAGCCAACTGCAATTTTCAAAGAAACTGTTTCTTCTTTGCTCTTCTGCTGACAAGGTCAAATCCAAATGCAGATACAAAATTTTGTGTAGGACTTTCTTTTGCCATGGAATTTGCTTAGACAGACACCAACTCAGGGAGTTTCAGGAAGTGGCTATTAAGAAGATTTCCCAGTCACATATTAACCATCCATTGTTAAAGTGGTGTCTCTTGGCGAATCCAGTTATCCTGTAAATGTCAATCACCATCCCACACATAAAGAGCAAGAAGCACAGTTCCATTTTCAAACAGAGACTTCCTGATCAAACACAAATTTCCCTAGGTTTCTGTGAAGCCTAGATATCTGATATTATTTGGTTAGATAAATTCAACTTTTGTTGTGAACTCTGCAACTCAGCAGAGCTGGATACTCATTGTCTACATATATGACTGTAACCTCTTACTTTTTGATCAACTTGCTTTTGATCATTCTTGCTTTTTTGGTCATCCCCATTCTAGATGTTAGTTTCTATTTGGCTTGAAATAATGATTCCCTGCTTTGCGAAATGCATATATTTCAGGAGGACAATACCCCAAAGATTATATCTTAGAATAGGGTTTTTCATCATAATGTCTGGATATCCTTGAGATCTGTGGATTACATCATAGGAGGCCTTTAAAAGGAAAGAAAATAAAATTCCTATATGCTGTGGCAGGTAGGCAAGTGCTTCTGGGAGGAACACACCTTTATTAATCCACACCTCTATAACAAATATGTAGGAGTTCACAAATCAAAAGAATTTGGAAAAATCACAAGAAAAACTGCAAAAATATGCCTACTACTTGGATCCAATCAGTAGTTTTTCTGCCCCAGTTAAAAGGCTCAGAGCTAAAACCAGTGTGTTCTCACAAAACAGCCTTGTTGGCGGATGTAGTTGGTATCATGGCCCATATATGTACAAAACATAAAATATCACACAAGTGCTTCTAACTTCTGAAGACCTGTTTTGTAATGTGTATCAAGGTGCATGTGTCATCCCTGTTTACCATATTGATAAGATCAGCTATTACCAACAAGACTTCCTGCATCATTCTTGTACTGTTGTTTAATACACACTATTCAATATTTAATATTCATTTGATGTTCTACCATTTAAGATTCACCATAAGTCTTTGGCAGATGTATGTAATGGTGAAAATGTCTTCACAATAGGGTAGGGAGCACTGAGTAGAATAATTCTTTGCTAAATGAGTTGGAAGGGAAAAGAGAAGTGTTGCCAATATTCTGCTGTGTCATCAGTGACATTCAAACAGAGATCAGCCATATGTAACTTCAAAGTAGAAAAATTGCTCCAAGTGTGGCATTGTTGTCTTGTCACATACATATTTTACACATTGTTTAAGCAGCAATCAAACTGCGAAGTATTTTCTGAGCTATCATATTTTTAACGCATTTCATCTTGAAAAACTTTTTTCAGGAACAAAATCTGGATTTAGGCATTGGAGAGATGAGAATAAAAAGGAATATTTTTCTTTAAGTCTAGCTCTTATCTTGACTGAAATAAACATTTCTTTCCTCAGAATACTTCCGTTAAAAATCTAAATCTTAGGACATGCATAATCTGTAGCAAGCAGTAAAGCTAGCCAAGAATCCAGCAGCTCAAAAAAAAAAAAAAGTGTAGGGAATAAAAGAAGAGGCAAAAAGGTCAAGATAAGAGAAGACTATGCTGTTCTGTGGATAGGATCCAGTGCCTCTGACACCCACATGGAAATATTTCCCAAAAAGTAGAGAAGTTTCAGCTCTGGTTTCCCAGTGGCAGAGCTCATTTTGGTGGCTCATTAGCTGCTGGAGCCAAGACAGGACAATGGAACCTGTAAGACCCAGGCATGGGTCAAACAGTCAGAGAAATAAAGCACATGGGAAAGGAAGCAGGAGTCAAAGGAAGCAGGAACAAGCTGGGGGGGGGGGGGGGGGGGGTGCTCTGTTTACTCTTCCAAGTGATTCAAAAGGCTCAGCACATGACACTAAGAATGTTATTCTATTTTTTAAGGGAATATTTGTTTAGGTGAAGATTAAACTAAGAAATTTCTGATCTATGGGAACAGGGTCCTGTGATGTGCTATTACTCACTGTGCAGGACTATTTCTCTGAAACAATACTGGAGGTCTGAAAATGTGACAAGAAGGACAGTTACATAAAACATTTCTAATGCAATTTAAAATTCCATGTGGTCATGTGCTTACAATCCCTTATTCAAAAAATTTTGGTTCAGTAGCTCTAAATACTTTGTTTTCTAGTATTAAGATTCTCCTGCTGATTTTTCAAAGCTGAAGGAGTTTAAAGAGACATTTGTGAACCCGACTGAGCTACTTGTGAAAGCACTCAGAAAGAAGCACCTCAGGGTTTTTCACTGCTTCCCACACAGCTTCTCCTTTTACAGAGAGGAAACCTACTTCTGTTAAGTGCAGCGACCACTAATGGCATTTGATGAGGATCAAAGGAAAAAATTAGTTCTTTCCCATGGATTTTTACAATCCTGATAGAAAAGGCCATCTTTTTTGTGGCTTATATTATTAATATATACTTTAAGAATAGCTACTTTCTGCCTTAATCTGACCCCCTGTGCTGATCAGACACAGAAGTCTCTGTTCAAATTTCCACTGTCTTTCTGGGCTGAGAGCATCAGAGAAACTCATCTCTGTCTTGTTTTGATTTCAGTCAGCAAATAAATAAATTTACATCAAGACAGGACACTTTTTGTTTACTTACTTTGGAGCATGCTGATAAGTGAATGCTTGTTAAAATTTATCTGCTACAATGTATGGCAACAGTGTGAAACTATAAAAAGAATGGCCTTTAGGATAACTTCAGACTTTTTAATGGTAATTTGCGGGTTACTCTTTTTTTTAATATTAAGAAAAGAAGGCAGGACAGAGAATGAGTCACAAAGGGAGAAAAACAAGAGTGAGACAAATTTTCAAAAGCAATTCTTCATGCTAAAGGCTCACCTTGTGATCACTGATTACTGACTTTCAGGTCCTGAACTGGGAGAATACCCAAATTGCTAGCTTCTGCTTTTCTGGATATAACACCTCACTTTATCTGTGTTACTGAAGTCAAATTACACAGGAGAAGACCCCGAGGGAAACTAAATCTCTGGCCCTCCTGATGTGTTTCAGGGGGTCAGCAGAATGTGCCCTGTTTGCCCTTGCAGCAGTCAGTGAAGAGAGCTGACAGGAGCGTGCAGGTCAAGAGGCTGATGAGTTTAGACATGTTGAGAGTTATAGAGAATCTCTGAATTCTCTTTCATCCCAAAAGCACAAAATTTTATCTAAACACCCAGCTCCTGAACTCCCACAGCTTTCTGGTGGGTTTGATGCTTCTGAACCCGGCCTCAGTTTTTTCTATAATTTAGCTAAAATATCTCAGAAAGGATACTGCTGGTAGCATGGCATAGAGAAAGGAGTGACTCCTGTCCTGCCTGCTCAGCCTGACAGAACATCTGCACTAAGCAGGGGGCTGGGGACCCTATTGGAAACCCCACCCAAGAGGTGAAAGTCTAGCTGCTAACCACTAGCAGTGAGCTGGTGAATAACAGTTAAATTCTTCAATATTAGCTGTGGTTTCATATACAAATTATTTATATTGGTCTTTCTAGGATGAAGTACCTACGTAGTTTTGGCTGGTAACACCTGAGAGAAATGTTCTGCTTGTGGACACCTTGGCATCCGTGTCACATAATCTTCTTCTCTTCTTTTGTTACTGAAATCAATTACCAAAATAAATGTTGCTTTTGAACAGTTCATCTCTACACACTGTTTATATCTGAAGTAGTAGTCCTCAGCTTTTAACCAAGATTCATGAAGATCATAATCCTGTTTTATCAACACAGATCCCTGGAGGTCAGACTCTCACTCTGTTATTGCTATTGCAAAGCGAGTGAGATCAGATGAGACTCCTACAGCAAGTGGAGAACAAGCAGTAGGAGCTGCTAATCTGTTAGAAATCAAACACTGCACCTTGTTATGCATGATTATGGAGCTGTGGTGGTTTATGATGTATGTGCTACACTGCTGAACTTCTAAGGCAGTGAGCCCAGTTTATCATTGCATTGAGCTTTGCCTTGTATTTAAGGAATGCTGCTCTCTGGGCTGCTTTGACCTCACGTGTAGCTGTGACTGCCTGGGACACCAGAGCATCAGGTTTTCTGCAGGGTTTGTCCATTTTAAGGATGCTGCTCCTGTGCTAACCTTGAATGCCCAGCAAGACTGCTGTCCAGGCTAGTAAGCCTTAGCCTTGCTGAGCTGTTCACACCTCACAGCTATACCTGTGAAAATATTTGACTCCATTATTTTTGGACTGCACACTGCAATTCTTCACACCACACAAACAGGAGTTACTGTAGGACTTAGTTTGAAGTGTGTGACAGAAAAACATACAAGTCCTCTCTGTATTCCTGTAGGTATGTGGTCTCAGTCCAGTCAACTCACTTTCTGTGTCTGCCTCATTGCTGTCTGTTCCTGCCAGGGTGCAGGTCATGGATTTGTTGGTGCACTGCTCTGATCTGTCACTGAACGCCTTAAAGAGCTTTTAGGGTGACATTTTTACTGCCTTTGATGAGATTTTAGATTCAGAAACAGAAGGGTCTTTGCTGTGCAAAACACCCTCTCTTAGTCTCTTCTCATGGAGATTTTACCCTTTTATTTTTCTCACATTTTCTATTATGTACTCTGAACAGAAATTGCTACTTTGTAGTGCTTGATAACAAATGACTGAAGAACAAATACAAGCAAGAGTAGATGGCACCTTTGATACTGTAAAGGCAGAAAAATTGCAAATTAAAATAATGTAGTGTTATATAACAGCTTGGCAAGCCAGACTTGTTTGTTCATTATTTTAAAGATTAAACTATTTAAAAGAGAAATTTTTAAACTGTGAAGAATGAGGAACACACATTTTTCAGTGTAAATTGTTAGTTCCCACAACAACATTAAATGGTGTGGTTCTCTCACTTCCCAGGATGTTTTATTATATGAAGTGCATACCATTAGTGGCAGATATATTAAAGAAAATTTCCTTTCTTCCTGTGCATGCTCATTGCCTGGTGGTTTTTCTTCAGGGATGTCCTCTGAGTCCTTTATCTGCTTTTTTCAGTCAGCTTTTTTTTTTCTGTGGCAATGTCAACTATGTTTTTGATAAATAAAAAAAATTGTGCCATAAAAGAATTGAGTCCTGCAAAACAGTAAGCAACTTTAAAAGATTTCCTTTTATCTGTCATTTCTAAAGTTTGGAGATAGGCTGTTATAGCTTCTAGAAATATAAATGCTGGATCTCTGTAAAGTGTGTGAAATAACTATTCATGGAGAGAGAACATTGATTCAGGCAATATTAACACCATCTTCAAAAAAAGCAAGGTCAAAAGGCATATTTTTTTTTCCCCTTACATCTAAGCAGGCAAGGGCATGATTCAGCACAGATGCCTCATCTCAACCAAAACCTATTCTATTTCATGTTGAAACATAGCAAAAATTAATGTGTCAGTTCTTAATTAAATTTGTACTTGCTTCTAGCATTTTGGCTTGGTTGGTTTGGTTTCTTTTCCATTTCTAGGATTTAAGTCCATTTCTAGTACAGGAAAGCGCAACCTGTGTGAGGTCTTCACTTCCCCAAGATTCAGCTGTTGCCTCTGGAACAGAGAAAGCAAATATAAAGTGCTATATCGAGGAGTTTCAGACCCCCCCTTTTTACACAGGTACATATAATGGTACTACACAAGAAACATCAGAGTGGTTCAGCTGGTAAAAACAACTAAAGTGTCTCAAGGCTTTTACTATGGGCTGCCTGCAGGAAGACCCAAGTCAAAAATCAAATTAAGCCAATAGGACTTTTTCTTCAGCAAGTATTAGAGCAGGTATTAAGGGATCTTCTTTTCTTAGCAGAGGCCCAGTTTAGGGACAATCCTGGGTTTTCTCTGTGAGGCAGGGGCAGGACCACTACAGGTCAAAGTGCTGTCCCTCCAGTACCGTCTGTCTGCAGCTCTCAGTGCTACACAAGGGTGGAAATGAGCCTGTACATTTTGGTAGCATAACCAGGAGGTTAGGATAGCACAGTGCAAAATGAAAATGAATTTCTGGTTATTTGGCTCAGCTACACTTATTCCTTATGTGAAATTACTAAAAGCCAAGTAGAAATGTGGAAATTATGACCCTGATACCTTTTGTTTGCCTGACTGTAAAGACACCCTGGAATTTTTTAAGGATGTGTGACACCTTGCATGTTTCAAGTCATTTGTACTGCAGGCTCCCTAAGGAAATAGCAGTAACCAACTTAATGAGTGCTAACCTTTTCTGCCTCAAGAGAGGCAGCTGCTTCAGAGATGTTGGCAGGAGAGTTTGCTCCCCTCTTGCAGCATCCCACTGTTTGTTTCTGCTCTGTCTTTATATTTAAGTGCTCATGCCAAAGGTTATCCATGGAGCTGAAATTAACTTCAAGTTCTACCCTATCTGATACCACATTATGTGGAGTGTTATAAAAGATAAAGAATGGGAAGGCTCCTGTCCTACTGGCCTATAAATAAAATATTTGTGTGTTAGGGCAGGATAGGCCTTTTGGCCTCAGTATGATAAAGTTGTAGAGACTAGCCCCAGAAGACTGCATTATCACAGATGTGCAGTAGCACAGAAATAACTCATCAGAAGGAACAAGTGAGCCATGTTGTTTCAAAAAAAAAAGTAAAATTTCTATATTAAGATGTTAAATATGCTATATATCTCTATGGTCCACACTTGATGCAGCATGTGAACACAAGTGGATTCATGTAAACATAACATTGTGAAGTTCAAAGCACGTCATTCCTTCTAACAGAATTATTAAATTCAGTATTTTAAATACCAACATAATTTTACATTCTCCTGGCATTTTCAAAAACACTAATTTTTTAACTACATTCTCCCACTGATATCAAAATCTTACAAAATTAGAAGAACACTTTTGAGCTTGCACCCAAGCAAGGGTGGAATTTTGTTACTTTGCACTGAACTCTCACGTAGAGTGAAGGAGAAGGACACATCTCCATTTATATATTATACATAACATGTGAATTTCAGCAATCCTTTTCATAAGCTCTAGTCCTCTACAACAGGGTCTGCAACTGAAAACTACCTATCATATGAGCTACAATAATGCAGCTACAGGTATTGATGATCCTCTGCAATTACACAACATTCCATGAGGCACATGGTCGAAACTACTGAGCTGGAGTTTTTACAGAAGGAATCTCCTCAGGGCAGAAATGAAATTAAATTAACAAATATCAGCTTTTTTACCAACCAAGAGCCTTTTTTAGCAAATTGAATACTTTTGGTAATGGTAAAAGGTATGAGGAAATTGATTGTTGTTGATTTGGCTTCAATTAAATATCATTCAAATGCTTGTCAAACTAACTGACCTGACCTTGACTGAAAGAAGGAATAAACCACATGATACATAACCCAGTGCTCAGTGCTATTGATCCAGCAGAATGGATAATGTACAGTTATCTAATACAGCACATCCTATGCTTAGAGCTATGAACTCTCACATAGAATAAATTTTTGGTAATAGAAAAAGCTCCTAGAATTACAAATGGCTTCTTATTTCTTTTTCCTCTCTTCAGTACTACCAGCACTGCCCTTTGTGCACAGATAAGTGCTACTTGACTTGAAATGTAAAGAAATACCATCTCACAGCTGTCTCTACCCAGGCAATTTGCCATTAAGTGAAGCCTGCCAAAGCAAAGGTTTTGGCATAAGGCAGGAGTAACTTGTTGCAGTGGCCTGAGAAGTGTGTGGAAGCCTCACTGAACACCAGTATGTTCAGTTCATTGTAGTCCACACCACAGCTCGTGAGTTGTTATGCAATGTAGAGTAAAAACGTCGAGTGGACAACTTCAGAGAATTTGTAATGGGTTTAAACTGCACAGCAATTACAGAACCATAGGCCTTGAAGGAGTGTTTGTAAAGTATACCTTCCCCTCTAGTTACTGGGATTTAATTATTAAACCTGAATTCCATTAACATGATGGGTCCCATCCCTTTCACTGTGCCTTTAAATTGCTCACAAGATTTCTTAACTGCCAGAAGAAATTTTAATATTGTAACAAAGACCTGGCCACAAACATTACAGGGTAAAATAATGACTTTCACATTGGTAAAGTTCATTAGATTTTAAAAATACACATTTTAAAAGAAGTAAGACTAAATCAGATTTTAATGATGGTGGCATTAGTAAGAAAAGCTGCATGCAACAAAACGTTTACAATAAGCTGCAACCAAACCTCTGTGTCTGACTGCCCTTTTAACAATAAAGGGCAATGTCAATTTGATATTGACATTGGAACACCAGCATTTCCCACAGAAACTACATTTTCTTAATATTTTTGTTTATAAATACTAGGGCATATGGTTAAGAGGATATCCTCCCTCCAAATAATGGATAGTCTAAATATTTGTCTGTCTCCAAAAGAAATACAATATCTATTAGCATAAAAGATTCACTTCCACTAAATACCATATTTTCTTTTCAAGCTTTGTAATGTCAAATCTTTTCCCAAAATATTGCAGTTGTCCACAATGCTCTATACACCACCATTTCTCTCACTAGTAAAGTATTGAACTTATCTCATGTGGCTCTTTTGACTGTAGATTTGTCAGCATAAGGAGGCTTTTTTTTCAATGCAGGGTTGAGTATTTTGTAGTCTATATGGTGCTATGTAGAGTGTTATTTCAAATAATGGTAATGCTTTCATCTGTTGGACTAGTGGCTTCATCAATGGCTAGGGGCCGTTGGAGAAAATATCTTCTCCCAACAATATTCCATAAAATGCTCTTTTTCTGGTACCTAAGATAGTTTTCAGCTGTGGAACACTAAAAGATTTGGAAACTGTGGCTTTCCTTGCTCAAAGCATAACATTGAAAGTTCTGTCATGCACTGACTGTGATGAATTGTTACAGTCCTTAATATAATGTTATGCCTCATGTTAGGCACTAAAAATTAGGCATTTCCTGTTCAGCTGCAAGTGCCACTGATCCCAGTGTATGTGTTCTGAACAACAGCTCTATTTTACCATGGAGCTAGATTATTTAATGTCTGTAAGAGCATCAAATTGTATTGCTCTTGCTGTGCCAAGAAAGCAAATCCTAAATACTTAAAAATTAACATTAGGTAAAAACATGACCATATGTTTATCTTACTTGCATTCATTATTAAGAGAAAAAACACTTATTAATTTTATTAATCATCTGATAAGAAAGTCAGACATATCTGTATAAGTGAGAGGGTGTCACAAACATGACTGCTCCTTTTTGCTCTTATACCAAAGCTGAGCTCCACAAACAATTGGAAGCTCCCCACCAGCAATGAGCACATGAGCTTGTTAACAGCCATGGCTGTGAGAGAAGGGCCAGGGCAGCATGCCTGCTGAACTGATGGATGTGAGCTGTTGTTCACTGTGAGCTCCAGATGCCCTTTGGACATAACAAGCCCCTACCTGTATTTACCATATGATCACAAACTGTAGGTTGAAGGGAGTGTTTCCAGCAGGGACGTGACCCTGCAAGGAGAGCTCGGTTCATGAGTCTTCTATTCCTTGTGTACTGTTTACCCCCTCACCTTCTTTAACCTGCTTTGTTGGTCCTGAGTGCTTCTGAGGCTGATCCTGTCTGTGTGAAGTGTTGACTGTGATACAACCTCACTCCTTACTCAGGTTTCTGCTACTTCAGCAGCAATAACAGCAGCAATCTGGTACTGGATGTGTGGCATTACCTGACACAGGATTCATCCTGCACCATGTACACTGACAAAAATGCAGCACCAACCAGGGCTTTAATTCTGTTGAAGAAAGGGGTGTGTGCTCTACGCTGATCTTCTTCTCTGATGTTCTGGCCTGTAATCATTCATTAGCATTCAGGTCAGAGAACAGCTGAATGAAAGACATGTTTCTTCTTTTAGCTCTTTTTGCTGCTAACGTGCAGAAATTAAGGTTCTCATGTACGTATTTTTCGTGGCAGAAGAGATAAGGACCAGCAGATAAAGTTCAAAACGTCAGTAAACGACGTCCAACCTGTCCTCCATTTGAGTAAGGGACTTATCGAGAGCAGGGAGGAGTGAAGGGCACATCTGGCTTTCCAGATAATGCTCATAACCTTATAGGACCTTTCAAAATATATTACAGACACACTAAAGATTATTTCTTTCTCCTGTTTACTTCATTTTTTATTGTGACACAGAGGGGGCAGTATCACAGACTGACATGCCCTTCCATTTAAGACTACTACAAAAATGAGGAGCTTAGAAAGGTCAGGCCATCACTAGCCTCTGTGTATCAGGAGTTCTCCCCATATCAAGCCAGTCATAATGGTGTGTCCATATCTTTCTGACTGCAGAGACTGCTCCATTTCCTGTGACAATAATCTCCTGGAACAAAGCAAGAAAAAAGAAACCTTAAAGATATGTTGCAGTCCTATCCCTTATCTTTCTCCCTTTGGTTGACTTACTCTCTCCAGAGAGAAAGGAGATTGCACTGTGCTCCTGAGTAAAGGAGAGGAGAGTCCTTGCCCTCATTAACTATGTTGGTTATTACCCAGACAATCTGGCCTCAGGCACAGAACCTCACAAATACAATTTCAGACATGAGGAGATGATTTTTCTGTTGATATCACAATGTGAAATATTCCAAAGCAACATTGCAGATCGTGCATATGTGCATGTTTGTCTTAGCGGCACCAATATCATACATAACCAGTCAAACCAAAATCAGCACCAGCATTAGTCAGATTCAGGTAAGAGTGGAATGCTGAGTAGGTGTCAGAATAACATTTTTAGAATTTATTATTTAATGGTTGACTTATCCTTTTGAAGTTATGGGAGGACAGCTATTTTTGTAAAGATTGTATCAACATTCTGGCTGTATTTGAGACAAGCATTACTAGTTGAAAAGGTAAATCTTTGCTTCACTTAGTAACTGTGTTTTAAGTACACTGGCAGTGTGCTTATCAAAGGTGAGTACACTGCTGTATTTCCACATCATAGTAGTGGATATTATGCCAACAACTAAAAGATGAGAAGAACACCAGGGGAGCTGACAACATGAAATTGTCCATATCTTAGTAATTGTGTAGGGAGTTACACTAAAATATAGATGCTGCTGCATAAAGTTTGAGTTCCTCTCTTGAAATTGTCTACATGCCCCTGTGTGCCTTTTGCATATACTACCAAGCTATACAGAATTTAAAAAGAGAATCAACATTCTAGGCAAGGCTGGGAAAAAAATAATCTGTCACAGGCTTTTCCTTTTAGTGATTTCTGGATCATTTTTTTCCAGTCAAGCTGACATTTCAATTTTAAATAGCACTTTGTTTGAAATCACCAAGGTATGAAACAGTCATCTTGCAAGGAACAAAAATAGCTTAGCACAAACCACCAACAGAGAAAGAGGAGTTTCTGTTATAAAATTTTTGCTTTTATATTATTTGGATGTTGACCTCTTATGTGATCTCAGACTTTTTACTGAACTAGATTCTCAGAAACTTACGCTGACTTGCTACTGGAAACTGCTAACACCTGTTACACCTTCAACCCAATATTTGACTTACATGGCACTTAATTCTGCCCTTATATCACCTGGGTGGTTAATGAAATTTCAGTGATTCAACTCTAGTGAAAATTGTGTTATGTTCTGGACTTGCCAGTACAAGAGAGAAATAGATAAACTGCAAATAACACAGATCCACTAAGATTAAGTGACTCACATAAATGCATAAAGGAAGAAATTTGGAGACCTGGACTTGTTAAATATGGAGAAGTCTAAGGGGAGATCTGGTTGTCCTTAATTGCTAGTGGGAAGTTAGCCAAAAGAAAGAAAAAAGACTCCTCAGAGGTGCTTAGGGAAAGAAGGAGACATGACAATTACAGGCTGCAGCAAGATAAATTGTGGCTAAAAAAAAAATTTTAAAAAATCTTTGAGTGCTGTGAAGAAACAATAGGAATAGGCTTGTGGAGAGAATTTCCACTCTTGGAAATTTCCAAGTCATGACTGGTCATGTCCCTGAACAACACAGTCTGACTTCAGACTTAGTTCTGCTTTGAGCAGGAGGTTGGCTTAGATCTGTGATTCTAATAAATACATGGGTGAAACACTTGCTTCTTACACTGTCAGCTTCCTACAAATCCTTCATTTAGACTTTCAGCATCCTTAAAATATTGTTTATAATTATAAGACATTTGGGCAGTGTATGGATGAGTGCCCTTCTTTACTCCAGCTTAGCCCAAAAAGCTTTCCAAATAGGGTCTACACAGCTGCATGTTCTCCTCCAGCAGATAAATTGCTCATGCTGTATCACTGTCAAAAAAATCCCAAAAATGGAAGTGTAATGCTATGTCAAGTAGAAATCTGATTCAGCCCCCGAACAAGAAAAGAAGCCAAAACAGTGGTGTCTTTTTGAGTAGTAGCTGTGCAAAATATGATTCAGGTAGTGAATGCTTTAACCACTAGTTTACATAACACAATTTGTACAACTTTGCTGTGGCTGACAAAGCAACTCCCAGCCTTACTTTAAGCACACACACTTAACAAATTTGCACGTATTGCTTGCATACATTTATACATGTCTATATACCTGTATATATGTACATACATGTGTCTGTTCATACATGAGGCACACATGTAGAAATACACATAAAGAAATACAGTCTGAGAGTAGATTCTTGTTAAGTAGTAGATGTTAAGCTTTGCAGAATATCTAGAAATGGCAAGCTGATTCCTTCTTCTTTTGCACCAAATAATTCCCTTTTACCACATTTCTGGAAAATCACCTTTTCTGAAAGTTTAGAGTCTCAAAAACACACATCATAGTCTTCTGGCAGTAAAAATTAACCTTAGCAGGAATTGTCTACTCATAGCACAAGCCAAATGTGGGAATTTCTGTTGATGGTAGAACATGTAGACCTCTAGCCTGTGAATAATGTCCTGGATGTGAGTGAGTTTAATTACATCACTCTCCCTATGAAAAATGTGCAATTTGGCCGTATGGTGAACTCATTTCAGTTTCCCATCACTGACTGTGCTTTGGGCGTTTTTGCATCATAAACAGTATGAATCCTAAGCCTCATTAATTTCATTATTAGCCCTGCTGCTTTTATGGATTTAAAACCCCTGAGTGGGTATGAAAAGACAGTTTTTGAGGAGGCTGTGCAGCTCTCCCCCATTTTACAGCTAGAAGTGTGTCTGATCCACAAGGAAGCCTGCTGCCTTTCTTTTGACATGGTCTGTGGAGCATGATAGGCATTCAAAATTTTAAAAATTAAAATTATTTTTAGGAGTCCATTGGTCTCCGGTATCTTACCTGCTCTTCTCCTGGGAACAGAGAATGGGTTCTCCAGGAAAAATATTTCTACCAAGGTTTTACAAACAATGTCTGATTTGTCACATTTTTTCTTGCACTTACATTTTGAACCACTGGACTTTTTATTTTTACTTGCATATCTTCAGTTTGCTTAGAGAATATTTGCTGCATATTCACAACTTCTTGCCTACATTAAAAAAAAAATCAAATTGTGATTATTGTTTTCTAGTGGCAGCCTGCCATGAAGTGTAGAGTAACATGCCACAGCATATACAGCACTCAGGCCCCCAATACACATTTAGATTATACTACTTTCAAGCTAATGCTCTGAAATATGAATGTGCCATCATAACACTATCTTTTTGCTGGAATGGCATGAGGGCCAAGAAACAAAACTCACTCCTGAACTGCAGGCACACAGAAATGTCACACGGTACCCTGAACCTCTTCAGTCCACCCAGTACAGGTGCACAGCCTGCAACTCACTGCTGAGAAAACCTTCCTCCTGCTTTCTGCCAACATTTTTCATCCAGACAGCACAGTCTGTTTCCAGTTTAACAGAGAAACTAATACTACACTCAGCCACTATTCAATGGGGAAAAAACTCTCTCTTTCAGCTCAGTCCAAGAACACATGACCTTCCTTGGTATTTGCAAAATGAGTTTCTATTTTGATTTATCCACAGCCACTGGGCTGTTTCCCTGCTGTGGTGGAACACCACTGTGCACTATGTGAATGCTTTCTTTTAATATACTGGTATCTGTACCTCAAAGTGCATCTGTCAGCAGCCCTGGTGGACTCTCCCCTAGTTTCACAAACCCTATGAGTCTCATGAGTTTTCTGCAAAAGGCTAAGCAAAGATGAAGTGGAGCAGAAAGGGAGAGGCTGTCAAACTTTAAGGAACAGTAGGTGTGATCTCTGCAATGTTTAGCAGAAACTTCCATGAGGTTTGCACAAAGCTGATAGTGCTCCCACAGCAAGAGCTCATCACTAGGTATGGCTGATGACTTCAGGACAGCTGCAGTGGAGGAAATTAAAGGAAGAGTTTCCTTTCATCTGGATCCAAGAATCTGTGATTATTGCTTGCCTGTGCACTGGGGAAAAAAAAAAAGGAAAAGTAAAAAGGAAGATACTAAACACTTGTATATTAGTGAAATTCTAGAGTACTGCAGAATCAGGAAGAAAATTAAAATATTCAGCTGAGTAACACACTATTTATCATCAGCAACAATGAAGAAGATGGTGAATTTCCAGATGGTTATAAAGTATGTGCCATAAACTAATTACCTAGAGTAGATAGCAGAAGCTGTTTCCTTTTTCCCCAAGATGGCTTTTGAGATCAGGAGGAGCCCAGAAGGAACTGCAGGCTGTCAGACTTGTCCCAGCATGGGATGGGGAAGATACCTGGGTGTTTGGATGAGCTTTCAGTAGTACCAGTTCAAGGGTACATAGTATTTGTTCAAGCTAAGAATTCTCTAAAGCTAATTAGCTGAAGCCCTCAGTGAATAGTCTTCAGTGAACCTGCCTGCTGTGAGCTCATCAGAAAACACAGATATGGCTGCTGGTAAGGTGTTGCTGTGACTGGATCCTCTTCTCTGGATCCTTCTACTGTGACCAAATGGTACAGTTCAGAGTATCACTAAGAAAGAAAAGGCTTTTCTTTGATGCTTACTAAAGTCCAGTAATAAAGTTAAGATTAAATTTGTTCACAGGGTTTCCACAAAAATGAAACAATTTATTATTGGATAGAGTCAGGTTATTGGATGGAACAAATACAGACTGGAATAGCAATGAAAGAAACCACTTTCTTGGGAAATATTCTCTGTTGTGATCATACATGTCATCATGAGAAAGGTTTTGCTATAGTACTGACAAGCAAAGAGAAGTTTTCATAAAGCTCTAATAGTAAATCCTGTTATTGTCAGATGAATTTATTCTTTTATATTCATGGAACTTTATATATTCATGAAACTGTTAATCACTCAGTGATGAAATACTTGAGACATTAGTTTCAGTTGAGTATGAGTTGTTTCAGAGCCTCTTTCCAGTCCTCAGTGTTCCTAGGCTTCAGTGAGCTATGCACATTAAGTGCCCTCTCATTTTAATGTAGCCCAACCCATTAAAACACTTTTTAAGGGTTGCATTGCATTTATTCAGTCAGCAAGTCCTGACTCCTTGCAAACAGAGCGTACCACACGTAGGACTTCAATGCCACAGCTAACTCTCCATCTGCACAGCTGGAAGTAGATAATGTACAAAGGTCTTGGTAGAGACCACTAACCTGTTCTACAGGTATGTATGTGTATGTTTCTCCTCCTGGGCTGGCAGTGACTCTTGTCCCTCCACAGCTAAGTCAGCAAGAACATCTCAGTGATATAGAATTAACCTCAAATACTTACCAGGGCAGATGAAAATCAGCTTTGATATAACTTGTTTTGATGGGAGACTTTATCTTGCAGTGATGTAATATTATCTCCTAGTATTTTTAGCCTGGTTTCCTAGAAAGCATCTATAACTACTAGAACAGGGCTAGAATTCTTTTTGGATTAGAAACATGTAGGGTTCATGCAAATAGGATTGTTATCAGTACAAAACTTTGAGGCACCTCCCAGTGACTTGGATGAACCTTCCAACACATAGCCAGAGGAAATGAAGCTTTTTTTTGTTGCTGGTTCTTTGTACTCAGGGCCTTCGTCTTAATCTTCAAAGGCCTTCATTAATTCAATCTCAACTTCATAAAGAACATCTCTCCCCTGTCTCTAGGAGGTTTATTTGTAACAGTTCTATTCTCTAGGAATGCCAAACCCACTGACCTTAAGCATATAACATGTGAAAGCAGAAAATAAAATTTTCTCAGCTACCTCCTCACATCTCTTCAGCAGAGGGAAATGGAAATGCCCACAAACCTGTCAACTCTGAGACTAAAACATCAACTACATTTTTGCAGCTGTTTATGAATGCAGTCACAAGAAATATAGAGTGATAAATACAGGAAATTTTTGAGGGGAGGTAGGCAATAGATGGTGGTGGCAGAGAAAGGGAGGACTGGAGGAAAAGGGCCACAGCTGCTGCAAAGGGCGAGCATTAGTCTCACATGTGCTCCTGAGTGCTCCCTTGGCCAATATGAGAACCCAGCATGAGGAATGAACCTAAATTCCACAGCTTCTTGCAGTTGTGAGATTTAGTCAAAGTGCTGGCAGAGAGGATGAAGACTGTAGTATAAGTAAGAAGAATAAAATGACAGCTTTTTTTGAGGTTGTATGAAAAATGGCTGTTTTACACAACACTTTTTTTCTGATGGGAGTTGAGTGGCTATTTCTTGTGCCTCCAAGCTCTTTCTACCATTTTGAATAGCTAAAAATAGTGCCTAATAACCCGAAGTTGATACCTATAGATGTCAAATTCAGACACTACACAAACTGAGAAACCAGGTCAGCGTTCATATGTGGAGTTTCGATGTTATAGATATTTGTATGTCTCTCCTTACCCTGTGTTTATACATACTGTAAAATGCAAGATTCTTCTATTTGTAGAAAATTAAATGAAATTAAATGAAGCGCAAAGTTAATGTTTAAAAGAAAATGAGTAAAAGAATGCAATGAGATATGCTGGACACCTACGCTTCATTTGCATTATGCATGAGTTGCTATCATACCATCTCTGCCATAAGAGTACTATATGCACAGTTAATAAAATAAACCCAAATTACTTGTATAGTGTAAGTTTTTTACAGCTTTATTAGAGGCATGGTAGCATGGATGATGCTGTAAATTCTTCTACTTTTTTTCCTTTTGTCTTCGTACAGCTTTAATATTTTTGACTTGTGTCTTCTTGTAGAGCAATCACTTTTGTCAGGTAGGTGTGTTAGTACATCTCTTCTGTCATCGGATAACATGCTAATGCCACTGTATTATCCATTTGAAATGTGAAACCAAGGGAAGACTGGTGAAAAAGATCCTACTTACAGGGGAACAAGTGCACTAACAGCATGCCAGCTAAAATATCACCTAATGTTCAGAAAAAACAAGCAAAGTCACCCAAATAGGTTAGTTTACAACTGAGGAAGACTCATTCCCTTCCCACAGTGCTGCATGAATCTCATGACAATGCTGAGTGGCATCCTGGCCTCTATCAGGAGCAGTGTGGCCAGCAGGAGCAGGGAGGTCATTCTTCCCCTGTACTCGGCACTGGTGGGGCTGCACCCTGAGTGCTGTGTCCAGTTCTGGGCCCTCAGTTTGGGGAGGATGCTGAGACACCTGAGTGTGTCCAGAGCAGGCAACGAGGCTGGTGAGGGGCTTGGAACACAAACCCTGTGAGGAACGACTGAGGGAGCTGGGGTTGTTTAGCCTGGAGAAAAGGAGACTCAAAGGTGAACTTACCACTCTCTACAACCTCCTGGAAGGTGGCTGTAGTCAGGTGGGGATTGGTCTCTTTCTCCATGCAGCAACTGACAGAACAAGAGAACACAGTCTCAAGCTGCTCCAAGGGAAATTTATGTTGGATGCTAGGAAAATATTTTTTATGAAAAGGGTGATAAAGTTCTGGAATGGTCTGCCCAGGCAGGTCGTGGAGTCACCATTCCTGAATGTGTTTAAAAAAAGACTGGATGTGGCACTCAGTGCCGTTGATTAGTTGACGTGTTAGGGCATGGGTTGGACTCAATGATCTTCAAAGTCTCTTCCAACCTAGTGATTCTGTGATTCTGTGATGTCCAAGGCACACTCACCTGCTGCTTTTTGCCTCATGAATGGCACCTTTACTCCTCTGCCACCAGTTATTTCTGCACTCTATGGGCTCTGCTTTAAAGTACAGTGGGTGAGTAAAGTTCCTTTTCCCAAGGGAATCATCAGTCAGTTCAGGTGCCATCCAGCCTTGTCTGAGAGGGATGAGTTACAGAGGCCACAGTAAGGACCTGTCCCCACAGGGGATATCAGCCAAGCCCACACTGCACCAGGAAAGGTTCACATTGCTCCCCAGCCACAGCACGAGTAGCAGGTCCCACCTTTCCCCTGCTCCTGCAGGTGATGTGTTCTTGCTTTCCAAACAAGGTTTCCAAGAGACATTAAACTAATACCTGGCTCTCCAGCTGAGATAATTGAAATGTGTCTTTCCACACCCCCCACCCCCAAGAAAAATCTGAGTGCAGACTGACTGTTGTTTTCTTTGTATATCCACCAGTTTTTGTACATTTTCAAGCAGTCTTTCTGAAAAACATATTTCCAAGCACTTTCTTTCTTTGTTACAAGGCAGGCTAGGCCTTCTGCTTTAGGTAGGGCAGGCTGGTTTTTCTTTCATTCTTCAGTCTGAGAAGGAGACAGCAGCTTTGCTTCAACCCTCGAATCAAGACAAATTAATTTCATTTCTAAACACAGGGCAGAGCAAAGTAACTTATACAGAAACTGAGCTGGTTTTGTATTAAATTTGGTGCTTTCATCAGAAAAATTAACAAGTACGGCTTTGAACAAAGGCTAGACCATTGCACTGTGGTATACCCAGAATGTTTTTCAGGCAAGGGCTGCATAATACAATGCTTCAGAAAATCAATACCTATACTTTATACAGTTCTAAAAGTATCCTGTTTACTTTTACAGTGATAACACAATTTTGCCTGGAAAATAAACCTGATACCAAACATTAAAGTTTAATAGATAAGCCAACCCAGATTTTTCCCTTCTATGTCCTTTACTGTTCTTCAAGTAGTTACAAGTCATCAGACTGTTTAGCTTAAAATGCACCTATTTTGTTTTATCTGACGAATAAAGTAAAGCATTTAATCTGAGAGCTAAATATAAAAGCTGCAGTGAATGTTTTTAAGATAGAACAAAAAAGAAAGGATATACGTAAAATAGATTGGGTGAAACCTTAACCCCACTGAATCCTGTGGCAAAATCCCCATTGACTTCATAGAGCCAAGATTTTACCTTTCAATCATATCATGAATGCAGCTGATGCTGCACAGCTTTTAGAGAAGGACAAAAGATTAAAAACTCAATATTCAAGATAGAGTCAAGTTTAGATTCAGTTGAACTCTGAGCTGACATCCAGCACATGGTTTATTCAGCAGAGGAAAATTATAGATATGTAAGAATTTTAAGTGTGGTGTGAAGAACAGTAAAATGTAGCCTCTTTTTAAATCAAAATGCAAGTCTTTAATTTGGTGCACAAAAAATCTTCTCTATAATTTTCACAGGCTATAGTTGTTTATGGGTGACCTTCTAGTCTGGTCAGCTGTAATCTTCTGAAAGACATACCATGCCATAAGGATAGCAACAATGGGAATGGGAGAAAAGCGACAGAATAGGGCAATAAGAGCGTGCATGTTCAGGCAAAAAGCAGCAAGGAAGACCAGAGTTCATTTTGGACAATCCTAGAGAATCCTAATGTGTTTTTTTCCATAACGCTACAGTTCTTAATGTTACAGTTTTCAATATGACAGAAATAACAGAAAAAATAGGTGTCTTACATGCCTTCTACAACAAGAGATTATAGAAGAAAGTAAATTGTTTTGATGAAAAGTGGCCTGGACATAATATGGAGCTTAAAGGATAGGGAAGGATGCAAATCCTTAAGAGCAGCAATTTTACAGTTCTAGCTGGTATAAATCTGGAATAGCAGCCCCTTCTCCTCTGGAGAACACTGACTTTTTTAAGTATTCTGGTAATGAAAAGGAGAAAGCTGTCTAGATATTGATAAACATTATGTAGAAGATTGCTTTCTTAAATTAAAAATGGCTTCCCACTGAAAAGAAGTTTTGTGCAGAAATGAGGCTTTGGTTAAGGCCTCATTTAGTATTTCATTTCATGGCACAATTTCTACAATTTATACCTCTCCAATAGAACACTGAGATTTAAAATAAGACATTTAAAATGATTCTGTGAGAGAAGATGATACTTTTCTATAGATATATCACAAAAAGTAGTGAAAGCTGGTATATTTGGAACTGAGTAGAATAGAAATAATTCTGTGGTTTCAGTTCCCAGTAAGTGTAGCATCACAGGCCAGTGAGGGCATGTTCACTGAGGCCTGATCCTCGTGACTTAATAATACACCTATTAACTGCAAGCACATAACAACTTTCACTGCAATCACAGTTAAAATCAAACCTGTGCCTCGCTGCTTGGTGTACAAGAGCCTGAGGCAAATCGGATCATCAGCACAGTTTTTGAAATGTTCTTGGAGGAGCCGTCAGAGTCAGCAGCAGTGGGGAGCAGAGGAGCCTGAATGTCAGACAAGGTCTTGGAGCAGGAAGGAAGATGTTGGCTAGATTCCAGCACAAAGGGAAAAAGGAAAATCATGCCACTTAGCCACTTACCTGAGAGCAAGGGAGTGGGAATTAGATGGATTTGTACATAACGCAGGAGCAAGAAACCTCAAAGAGATTTCTTCAGAGTGTTGGAATTAACCTTCAGGTTTAATGTTCCTGGGTTTTGAAATCACCCTGAACTTGATGTGTTTAAGGAAAAAGTTGCCCTAAAAATATAGTT